ATTATTTATGGCGTAAACGCGCCTAATCGAACACCAGCAGACATTCTTCATGCTATTGTTAAAATTCTTTTATATTACTACATTATTTCTATTTTATAAGCTATATATTAAATCTTTTTTTTTAGATTATTTAATTACTCAAAATGCAAATGTTATGCGTATATATATATATATATATATATATATATATATATGTGTGTGTGTGTGGTGTACTTGAATACTGTAATTAAATTGCTTGAAGTATTTACTTATCATGTTAATACCTAATTCAATAATTTTATATTTGTTAGAATACTGTTATATGATGGATTTGTTAAAGAATTATATAGTTTATTTACTATAATTAATTACTATATTTTTGTCACACAACTTTGTTGGAGTGATATCTATATAATAAAGTAATCTTAATATAGCTGAAGGTGTCACACCTGAGATTTTATTTGCTGCAGCAATCTGCAAGATAAATTTTGCTAATATAGATGATATGGAATTATTAAACAGATGCAAATAACTATTAAAAAAATAATGAGATTATATGGGAAGATATTTGTATTTTTTAAATAACAATATAATAATTTTAAACAGTCGAATTTACAAAAGAGATAGCAATAATAAAAAAATTACCGTGTTTGGAGATATTTTGTGGAGTTCTCTCGATCTTCAGTGGATAAGTTTAATTGAGGACTGTAACAAAAATAAAGCAAACAATTAGTAATTTTGTTGATATACAGTTTTGAGGCATAAAATATAAGGAATTGTTATTTTTATTTATTTTATCAAACAGCAACTTAATAAATATTTGGACAATAAAATAAGTGGTTCAGATGCGCATATATATACCTATTATTCAACATCATTCAGGTATCAATTCTATCATCAGGTATAGTCATTTGCTCGTTTCTTCTCATATCTTCCACTTCATCTTGCTGATTCTCAACGACATGAGCATATTTTGCCTCGATCTAAAAGTCGAGTCACATTAATATTTATCGACGAAAATATCTCTTACTTAACTTCTAATTAAAAATTCTAAAACTTTAACTTTATTTTAATTAGCAGTTGTTTATAACTTTTCCCTAAAATATAATGTTTATTATCGCAATTTAATATAAATTTACAAACCTCTATTCTTCTCGCAAGAGCGGGATCTCCATCCAAGTGACCTAACAAATTCGGTAACTGGATTACTAAATCCTTAAACGTGACTCTTTCGTCGTCTGTCTTGGAAAGTATCCTAAAGGCCGATTTATATTCAACACATTTAGTGCTCTTCATGTTGAACAACTGTCGCCACTTATTGCTCGATCGCACTTCGCTTTAAGTATCTGTATAGCTTTTCCAATTTGCAAAGAGTCTCTCTCGTCTTGTCGATCCTTTCGCGGGATACGCAACCCACTGCATAGCCCTTCTCTGTCAATCTCTGATCGGCGTTATCAGGACGCAGACTCAGTCGAAACTCCGACCTGCTGGTGAACATTCTGTATGGCTCCGTAGTACCCTCCGTTGTTAGATCATCGATTAGAACACCAATATAACCCCTCGGTTCGGCTTATCAGAAGTGGTAATTTCTTAAACACCTGGATACATTTATGGACAAGATTTTTTTTAGAACATATTGACAAATATATATCTATTATATAGAGCTTTTCAATCGACATCATGAAGTAATGAAATAAAACATGAGAATCTTTTATATAAAAAATTGTAAATTATATACGTCTCTCTCACAATAAGTTTAAGTTTTTTTTAATTTATAACAATTGAAAATATGATATTATAAACTAAATTTTTTTCTACGTGGAAAACATTAGCTTTCTGATTAATATGCCAATCACCTTAGCGGCTGCATTAACACCCGCGACGATACCTTGTGCAGCAGCTTCTTCATAGCCAGTGGTGCCATTTATTTGTCCAGCGAGGAATAATCCTGGAATCTTTTTCGTTTCCAACTGGGAGGTCAATTCTCTAGGATCTATATAGTCGTACTCGACTCCATAACCAGGTTTCACTGTAAGCATAAATGTACATACATTATGTAAGCTTAATTTTGGTTGTAAATACATATAATAATTATTTAAAATATTGTAAAACTTAATTAATAAATAGACAAATTAAACAATCACTTTGCATCTTTTCCAAAACTTTTTATCAAAAAAAATTATAAAAATAAGATTCATACATCGATTGTATGTAATGAATTCTGCATAATCTTCAAATATTTAATATTTAAAATAAATTAAGATTAAAAAAAATTATAATATAAAAATATACCTAGACGAGCGTTTTCCAATCCTGGAATACACTTAACAAGTTCCACTTGTTTTTCTTCTGGTAAGGTACAGGACAATCCACTGGGATAAATTAATGGTGAATCCAGACCTTCCGCTCCAGCCAAATTTGATGCCTAGGTGTTTGGAATCGCAGAATCTTACTTTCTATGCTCGGGCAATATCGCGGACCTGTGATCTCCTCCGTGACGTGTAAATTACAGTGCATATTGTCCTTTATAATCTTCGCGACACCTCATTCGTATATGTCAGATGTGTTAATGCTTGTTCCTCTGGCAGTAGCCACACATTATCATTCATAAAGGAGAATGGTATCGGGAATCATCCGGCAAGCATTTCGTACACTTGGTGAAGTCAATGCTATCTTTTTCCAATCTTGGCGGTGTGCCTAAAAATATGTATAATCTAATTAATATACTATTATAATCAAAAGTTGTAATGTTATAACTTTAATATATGAATATAAATTTATATATTATATATATATATATATATATATATATATATATATATATACACACAACTTGGAATGCAAAATAAGAAATGTCTTTCGAATTTTGTTATGTAAATTAGTAGAAAGAGAGTGTGTGTGTATATATATAGAACACAACTCTTACCAGTTTTCAATCTTCCTATCTTAAATCCAAGTCTATCAAGTGTGTTTGCCAGACCAATACTGGGTTCATCATTCAATCTACCTGCAGGTCTCTTCTCCAATCCGATATTTATTTGCCCTTTAAAAAGTTCCTGTGGTTATAATTATTGCATCACCAAATATTTTGTTCCATCTCCTATAAAAGAATATTTTTGAATAATTAAAAATATTACTAATATTTTTGAATTTATATAGAATAGTATAATACTTTTATGGAAATAGATTAGTATATAATACATATAGTATATATCAACTCAATGTTAAATACAAAAATCAAGTTATTTTAATTGAGTTAAGTCAAATTTCTTTTATTCTTATATATTATATCTATCTTTCTATTCTATTATAAAGTTTGAAACGTACTGAGAATTACTCCACAGCAAGACAAAGGATTCGCTAAAATTAAATCTTCCACAGAAGATTCGTAGATGTGTAAACCAGGCATATTGAAAAGTTCTGCTTGAAGATGTTTTTTGTATAATGTTCTGTCGATTTGAGCTCTGAGACCCCAAACCGCCGGTCCTTTGCACTTGTTGAGAACTTTGTAATGTATTCCTGAAATATCACATATTCGACAACATATTCCATCTAAAGCATCCACTTCTCTCATCAGATGACCTTTTCCGATTCCACAAAAGACGGGTTACACGACATTTCCCTGTATAAATATAATCAAATGCATATATGTATAAGTAATGTACTTGAAAGTAAAAAGTCCAAAGACAAGAAAAAGTTAACAATTAAAAATATATTCTTAATTATTCTTTAGTTATTTTAATATAATATACAATATTTTTTCTGTCTTATAATTTTAAGTATAGAAAATTTAAACTACAAATTGTTTCTATGTACAATTTGTAGTTTAAATTCTCTATACTTAAAATTATAAAACACAAAAAATATTGTATATTAATATTAAAATAATTAAAGAATAATTAAGAATATATTTTTAATTGTTAACTTTTTCTTGTCTTTGGACTTTTTACTTTTTACAAATATGTAATGTCATATTTGTTTTTAAACTTATAGTGTTCAAGTTACATAAATTTTTCAATATATTATATTTCCATATGCAATATTTATGCTTCTACAATTTAGCAAAACATTTTGTGAGTAAACTAAACCATTACTTTTATGAAAAATTATTTCTTTCACTATGCAATGTATGAATATCAATTTTAAAAATTAATAACTACTGCCGAATAGTTTTAAGCATACATACCTATAGTACTCTTTTTCTGAGTAACTAACAATGTCTTAGCACCCATTCTGACAGCAGCTGCAGATGCTTCAGTTCCAGCATGACCACCGCCAACTACTATTACATCAAATTTCTTCTCGCTATCGTTTGTGATTAGTCTTCTTAATAATTGTAATCGTTTTTGTTTGGAATATGTGTGAATAAAGATGTTTTAATTTTTGTAGAATCATTTTATCCAATTATTATGCTCCTCCTGTATTCTAATTTCTGCAAAAATAATTTAGTTTCTTTAAATTTCAAAAATTAAAGCCAATAAAATGAAAAATATCAGAATATATATTATTATATTTGTGTAACCCTCTGTGTGATTCATTTTAGATGTTTTCTATGATGAGATGCAAGAAGAATTATATGTATAAATTTATTATTGTATAAATGTTTATACAATTATATCTGAAATCTACCATTTTAAATAAAAATATGTATACGTTAATAAAATATTATCAATATACATAAAATCACTTAAATCTCTGTATATGATTTGAAATAACTTTATTACAATTACCTCATATAACTTTTACTGTATATTAACATTATTAAATCTATATTTTAAATATGTAGCATATCATTTTATCATCTGTTTTAGAATAATACTATTCATTAATATTTTATCGTTTACAATAGAAATTACAAGTTATTTCAAATCAAGATAAAGTTAACTAATTTACACTGTATAATATTGAGATATATTTTCACTAAAAATTATGTTGCCTTTGGAGTATTTAATTTTACCATGATATATAAAACAGCTTATTTCAATAATATCTGCAACAGAGGGTTAACAAGAACACAGATGTATAAAATAAACATTTATTTCGTGCAATAATTACAAACAGCAGTTTGTCGAGAAATAATAAAAGAATGAGATATATCGCATATCAAGAAAGATGATCCGACAACAAATATTCCTGATGCTTCAGGATTCTGTATAACGAACTGTATCTAATAGCCTTTTGGATTTTCGATAGTATCAATCGCTCGCATAGATCTTCCTTGCTTTCAAACTTGAGATTCGCGTATCCCAGATTATTGAGGAATTCCAGAACGAAGTTGAAACAATTCAGACTGATATCGTCGTAGTTGACAGACTTCCATCTGTCATCTTTCGATATAAATGCCAGCGTTTCATCCCATCGAACCGTCCAGGCAACCGGTATCACCTGGAAGACGACGCAAACGGCCCACCTGTGGACGTCGTTCGTTATCAGGCCGGCTTTATCGTATTCGACGACGCGCCCGCCCGAATCGACTACCCCGACGTGCAAGTCGTCGCGCGTGACGTCGTAATCGTCCAGGAAGCCGCCGCGCGAAGGTCGAATCGCAATGCTAGTCGGATTATGAGCTGCGTTCGCGAAAGGATACGGGACGCGAAACGGGTCCACGATGAAATCTTGTATCGGCGACGAGCAAACCGGACACGTCGCCGGCACGTGTCTGCAAAATACATTCTTCCTCGAACAATGACGGAAGCACACGACACCCGAATCGTCGTTCATCCTGAGAATGATATAAAAATGTTGATGTTAACTCTGACTTGTTTTAGTCCTGTTAACGTGTCATTTTCCCTGCTTCGTGATAATATCCGTGCTATTTTTTTCTATGCAACTCTACGTAGAATATTTTTGTATTGTGTTAAAATATGACATTTGAAAGTCTAATCTGATTGATGATGAGATGATGTTCTCGCACAGGCTAAATACACCCATGTACTTGTTTCGACTACAATTCGGAAATATATTTGCGTTAACTACCTCGTTTTATCGAAACAATCGGGTCAATGAATACACATGTCATTTAACCTCATTTAACCTCATTTTGGGTTAATCACGCTACATATACTTACATGACGCGTATATGCGATTTATTCTCGTATCTTGTTGTGGATTACAATCATATGCGATGTTACACGTGTAACAAGTTAGCAGTTACTTTTCATTTGCCAAGAGTTTGACAAATTGCATTGACAGTACGCTCATATGGTATGCGCACTGCGCACATATGATCGCGCATGACGTCACGATCGATATATCGATATGTATTTCGATTCGACTATCTCGACCATTTAATTTCGAAATGCTTGTTTGTTTCACTATGTTTACGCTCTTTTTGCATTCTCTGCCTTAAAACGAATTTTTATTTACATTCGCTCTCAAATAAAAAGAAGAGACAAAAATGAAGAAGATAAATATGACGAACGAGTTTTATGAAGAAGTAAAAATACTACTGCACACACAGACTCGAATATAAATTAAAAATGTGCACAAACTCTCTTCTGACATTAATTGCTTATCTTCTATTTTTTTCTATTTCTCTTCAAACATAAAATATTATTATAATATCTTATATTCTTCTTTTCAATAAATTTTATTTTATTTATTTAATCCTATTTTATTATTAAAACTATCCTACTTAAAAAAAGGTTATCAGACGCGAGAAATGTGCGTTTCAAATTGACGTATGTAATTATGATTGAGTTCAGATGATCAAGACTGCAATTAATAAGATAGTGATAATTTGCATCAACTTAGCTTAATAATGATAAAGGTTATTGCTATGTTTTTCTTAAAAGCACTTTTTTATTTTTTAATGTTTTAATCATTATACGTTACGTGACATGTACTCATAAAGTTGACAAAAATATACATATATAAAAACAACGTATATATTTCTCTTGAAATAAGTATGTTAAAAAGTATTAACAATTTTTAAAGTATAAATCATTTAAATTCTAATGATCTTCTCGCAAACGTAATTTCAGAGAATTGTAACAAATAACGGATTGTTATTTGTTTCCTCAATTTGAAATGTCTTGACTTTAATAGAATTTTAGTTTGAAGTTGAATTACCAAGCTAACAATAAGTCGTGAAACGGAGAAGTTTGAAAAGTTCGAAATCTTTCAGCGACTTTCTCGTCCCTAAGGAGAAAATAATTTCGAGTTTCGCATAAAATAACGCGACGTATTCAATCCTTTCAGCCAATTATGAGATATATATCTATAAACTTTATCTTCTTTATTACCGCATTGTTTAAAAGAAAATTGAAAATTGAATGAAAATTGCTTTATTCAAATTGTACAAACATAATATATGTGTAATCGAGTATGTGTATGTAATAATGTACACAATTGTTATATCATAAAATGTAATAATATCATGTTGATAATATTAGAAGAATTAATTATAAATGCCTACTAACTGGAAATATTTAATGCAAACGCGTTCACAAACGACCGAGGCATCACCTTGAAATCTATTTCTTTCTGCGGTAATACTATGAGTGCATTAGAAGGTTGATTGTTATGTGGCCTATTTATCTCGAGATTTTCCTTGCTGAAAGCGGTCGCAAATTGTCCTTTTCATTCCACTTTAAAGTCGTCCATATGACTCTAGGACGCTCGTGCAAGACATATCGCGTGTGTATCTACAATATGATTTAATATTACATATTTATTTTTATTTTACATAACGTACACGAAAATGCGAATCTTACCTTAACTGGTATTTGTTCCGGAGTCTTCCAGTTGCGGTGCAATCCGTTCAAAAGAGGTATAAGATATAGATGCGCGGTAATGAGAGTGGTCACTGGATTTTTCGACAGGCATAAGAAATACTTGGTTACGTTCTTCCACTTGAACGTCCCGAACGTTGTCGACTTCCCCGGTTTTATATTTATGTGTCCTGAAAAAAATGTATATACAGGATGTTTTCAAATTCGAAGATAATAAAATTGCATTTGCCATTGTTTGTCATAGTTCTTGAAAAGACACATTTTTATGTTCTATTAGATTTATTGTATTACAACGTATATATTTAATCAGAGAAAAAAATACCAAAATGTATATTGGCATTGAAGTAAACCGTAAAAATTGTCTTCAATCGATCATTATTGCTCGCACAACCTATTGTTACAAGTACGTCCACTTTCTCTAAAACTTCTTTGATTTTCATAATTATAAGTAGCGTACTACAAAAATATCAACCATTAAATATTTCGATTATTACAGTAATTATAAAAATATTAATCGTTTGCATATTAAATAAAATATAATAGAGTGTCAAGAATTACATGTATATAAAAAGAATTACATGTATATAAAAAATATTGATATACTCACTTATCAGCCACAATTCCGCAATCTAATAACGAATCGAAACCTTTATCTTTTAGTAGCCCGATTATGCTTATTCTGTTGCTATCGTAGACGTATCCATCTGTTAAAGAATTGCCAGGTTCTTCCAATAAATCTCCAATTGACAATATACCTACGATTACACGTGTTGAAACCATAACTTCTTTATAACCTACAGCTGTCAAAAGTCCTAATTCGGCTGAACCGATACGCGTAAATGAATGTATAATCGGTTCATCTATTTGTATATCGCTACCAATGTTCCTTTAAAAAATATATAAATTATTACAAATATAACTGCTCCAGTGGAAAAAATTGTATATCAAAAAATATCGAACTTCTCGTACTTAATATTTTGTTCGTATTCCGGCTTAATCTTTATCATTATTAATTTATTCTTATCCTTATTTTTTATTATTTGTTGCGCATCCTTGACTGGCACAACCGCTGTCGCTTCTGCAATCGGATAGAAATAATAATTAATTTTTTACCGCAAAGAGAGAAGTGATTAATTTACACTTTTATAAATAATTGTTTACCTTCGGGAATACGCTCTCCGCTTTTCACCCACACACATGTCCCAGGTTGGAGAGATACTGGAGTATTCTGCAAAAAATCTTTTGTCTTACAATCCTAGCTTGTTGTTGATACATGAGCATTTAATATCGTACTTACTGTACAACTTACTGTAGTCTTATCCAATACTGTCCTTATGCCTACACCGTCACTTGCCAATACTGCGAATCCATGTTTAGTGGAAACTCTAAATGCTGGCACATTACAATCGGAATGTATGGATTGGCACACTATTCTGCCATAAGCGTCATTTATATTTATTATGTCATATAGTCTTTCGCTTATATTGAAATCAATTGCTTTCTTCATTATAGAAAATGCCTCGTGTAGAGAAATCATGGAAAATTTAGTATTGGGAACAATATCTATCACTTGTGTCTGTGAAAAAAAATTAATTGTATATTACAATACAATTCAATTGTATATATACAATTTCATAAATATTTTTTTATCATTTCTAATATAATAAATAGCCTATCTTGTTCGTGATTTTAGACGAAGAAAAGGAAGGTTTTTTGTTAATAATAACTTGATTTGCGACATTTAACTGTAAAGAGATTAATTGCATATATAATTTCATGAAATCTGCCTTATTGCTTTAACAAAGAAAATAACTTACATCGTTTTTAGACGAAGAAGATTCCTTGTTATCACCTCCACCATCAGAAGATTCCTTGTTTAACGAAGAAGGTTCCTTGTCATCAGTTTGATTTGAGGTATTTGACTGTAAAGAGATTAATAGGATATGTAATTTCATAAAATTTATCTTATTGTTTTTAATATAGAAAATAGCCTACATCTTCCGTGCTGGATTCATACAAAGATGAAGATGTCATGCTTTAACAAAGAAAATAACTTACATCGTTTTTAGACGAAAAAGATTCCTTGTTATCACCTCCACCATCAGAAGATTCCTTGTTTAACGAAGAAGATTTCTTGTCATCAGTTTGATTTGAGGTATTTGACTGTAAAGAGATTAATAGGATATGTAATTTCATAAAATTTATCTTATTATTTTTAATATAGAAAATAGCCTACATCTTCCCTGTGACACAAAGCTTCCTCGTCATCAATAGCGGCTTGATTTGAAATATTTGACTGTAAAGAAATTAATTACATATATAATTTCATATTTTTTAAATTGTTTTTAATGTAAAAAATAATCTACTTCTTTTGTTATTGCATCAGGCAAAGAAGAAGATGCCTTGATAGTAGTTGCTAGAGTAGCTAGTGTACTTAAAGCACTTTCATTCATGTTCTTTAAAAAAAAAGATAAAAAGATGTAATTATATATATACAATTTCATAAAATCTTTTATTATTTCTAATATGTAAAAAAACCTACCAACGTCTTTATTGGTTTAAGCAGAGAAGAGAATTCTTGCATAGTATTTTCATTCGCGACATCTATCTATAAAGAAATTTAATTTAATATATAATTAAAATTTTTTTTTCTTTTCTCTTATTCATTATTCCTAATATAGAAAATATTTTACCTTCCTTAGATTATTAAACAAAGGATATAATTCTTCTAAGTATTTTTCGATTAATTGTAATAAGTACGACTGTTCACGCTTGTTAATCGTCTGTAAAAAAATTCAATTGTATATAATTAAATTTTCATAAAATCTTTTTTCCTTTTACATTTGTTGATGCTAGTAGAAAATACCTTCTCTATAAATTCATCAAAAAAAAGACAAGTTTTTACAGTGTTTCGCTTTACTCACGTCTGTTTGCAAATAATTTAATTGTGTATACACAATCTCATAAAATTATTTTTCTCTCTCCATCATTATTTCATATTGCATCTAATTTAAAAAATATTTTACCTTTTTCGCAGGTTCATCAGGTGAAGAAGAAGATTCTTTAAGGTTAAAGCATTTGTGCGTGTGTGTAAATAAGTCATTAATCATCTTACTTAATAAATCACTTAAACTCTGTAAAAAAATTTAATTATATACATATGATCTTATACAATTTTTCTCTGTCTATCTATCTATCTATCTGTTTATCTATATATGTATGTATCTATCTATCTTTCTCTCCTTTTCTTTTTTTCTATCATTATTTCATTATTTTTGATGCAAAAGATACTTTACATTTAACAAAATAGAAGAACCCGTGTCTTTTGTCATATTGATTTCCTATAAAGAAATAATTGTATGTTTAATCTCATGTAAAATCTTTTACTATCAATATAAAAAATATTTTTTTACCTCATCTTTCATCTTCTTTATTTCATTCTCACCTGTCTGTAAAAAGATTTAATTGCATGAACAAATTTATTATATTAATATTATAATAAAGTATCTTACTTGATTTGTAGGAATAATTTTTGAAATTAATGTGTTGGTTAATTTTGCAACATTTTGTTGCCTTTTAAGCTTTGTTTCACATCTATTCTTCAATTCTATCTTTAAATTTATTTGCTGTTGTAATGTTTTTACAATTATATTGTGGCATGTTAAACTTTCTTCGCGTAAGTCAAATAAATTAACGATTAGCGTATTCTTTCGTATTCCACATATAACTCTGAGAACATATTTTATTGTTGTAATAAAAAACATACAAATATATAAAATATAATAGAAATAAAATTTTACCGACGATGTTTATTCTCTAGTTGCGCTTTAATTTTTTTATAATTGGCGCATATTTTGTAACATTTTGTGTATCAACAATTTTGTCAATCATTTTAGCAATATTATTCTCAAAAGATTTACAAGACAAGTAAGGTAAATTGTGACCAATAATAAAAATTAACTTAAAATTAACATCATTCTCATCGCACAAAGAACATATTTTTTCCTATATTGTATAAACAAAATAAATTATAATAAATTGAAACACTATAACAAAATATTTAAAAAAAGTTTAAAATATCTATAGTTACCATTATAGCATGCACATCATGTTTTATAATTTCAATTTCGGGTTTATTACTTATCTGTTTTAGTACAAATTTGACATAATCAATAGAGTCCAATGTGATTATGCCATGAACTAGTACTTCGTCTATATCTTCATATAATGTATGTGAATTATCGGTATATACTGTACATAATTGTAATAAAATTTTATATATATATTGTATATGTGTATACTTACGTATTTTGCTATATATTTATAATTAAATTACAAATTTATAAAATATATAATAAACACAGCCAAAGGAGAGAAGAGAGAGAGAGAGAGAGAGAGAGAGAGAGAGAGAGAGAGAGAGAGAGAGAGAGTCTATATAAATTAAATGTATTTCTTAAATTATAATTTAATTCAAATATTTACATTAACTGTAAAAGTAAGTAATTAAGTAATTCTAACACATTAGAAAAGAATATGTATAAAATACATAGACAAAATTATTTTTATGCTACATAATAGCGATCATAATAAAAATCATAATAACGATTAAACATATGAAGCAAGATATGCATAGCTGCATTTAATATTCGCATTTATTAAACGCAGGATATATAAATAATTAAAAGATTTTATTGTAATGTTGTATCTTTTAAAATGAGCTGTATATACCTGTATATATACATTAACGTATATTTCTCTACACGCACTTAATATATATTTACATAAAGAATATGTTTGTTACAATATACATACCCGTTAAAATTGTAGATTTTATCATTGTGGCTTTTTTTAACAGTGCAGTTCTAAAGCTTGTTAATATATTTGTCGTAGGATTTTTTGATATTTCGGTTATATGTTTGATCTCAATCACCAAACTCGTCGACTGGCAATGAGTTGACTTTGCTTAGCTGTGAGAACAGTTAACAGAACTGTTTCGATAAGGAATTGTTTACATTTTTTTCAAAACGTTTCCAATACATCACAAAAATAATCGTGCAAATCTCATTTCGACTTTAGCGATTCCGTTAAAGCATAATAAATCGATTTTTAAATACCAAATTTATTACGAACCAAATCAAATATATGTATTATACATGTTATACTAATGTAAATTATTCGAGCACTAGTTTTTACGAAATGCGACAATATAAATAGAATACGAATATCATAAAATATAATTTTCAACACTAATTATCATCAATAAAATATTTAATTAGTTAATTAGTTCGTTTATTATCTCGATAGTATATGTTAAATTGCACGAGTAATGCGCGCGTTCGTGTTTAAATTACAAGTAAGAATGGTAAAAAGTTTAGACTAATTATGCTATTGCGGGTGAGAAACTATTTTGAAAAGTGTTGTATTACCGCGCGCGCAAAAAAGAAAAGAAAAGCGAGCTTGCACGAAGCGTCTCTCCCTTTTTCTCCCCCAATCTTTTTACTTTTTTCAGTCTTTTGTCTGAAACATCTTCTTGTTTATTGTTGGATTTGTTTTATTAATACTATCTCAATTATCGCGAGAAGTTGTTCTATTATATTTATTGTAATTTTTGCTCTCGCGTTATCATGCGTTTAATCAAAAATAGCGCTCAAATTACGTCACGACTGCCATGTTTGATTTCCTAAAATACAAGGAATCTCGGGAACGAATCGCAGTGCATTAACGCATCCGAAGTTATGAGAGCAACTCGATGCTCTTCGCGTTTGTTTACAAGTGCTTTGTGCGCGTTTATTTCGGAATACGTTGGTGATGTAGATATAATCGCGATGTAACCACATTGTAAGTATCAAAGAATCGATCGGTGTGATTAGTAATATTCGCGAATCATCGCGGTTATATCGCGGTAAGAAGGAACCACTCGTCTCGTTCGAGTTGCAACTTTATTCAAAATAAGTACCAAAAATCATTGGGAAATTATTATATTATGTTTCACGCGATCGAATTAAACCGGAATTTCGATCGAAATTATATCGCCTTTTAGAGTCTTACGATCGAGAATTTTTTTATTGAGAAAAATTTCAAAGGAGAATCAGCGCGCGCAGCGCCATCTGTCAGTGGAAGGCGCGAACTAGGAACCACCTCACGGCGCCGGCGCCGCGCTATCCCCTCCCTTTCTCCCGCCGGCGAGACAGTCAGTCAGTCGCAGCTGACCGATGGGAGCGTTCGGAGCAGTTCCTTCCGGACCGGGTTTCGCAGTGCTCGCGTGTTCGTGCGTGTTCCGCGTACACTCGTGCGTCTCACGACCGGTTCGTTGCGCTCATGTCGTCGCGTCGCGAGTGATCTGAAGACATCGAGAAGCCACGGCGTGGAGGACAAGGGCTCCCGGAAAACGCGCGTCTTCTTCGTCGATTGCGAAACGGTGAAAGGCGAGACAGACGAAGACGACGTCGACGACGGGTCACACGGCTCGAAGTGCCACGGTCAACATCGAGTGAGTACCGATCATTGTTTTCACTTCTAACCAAAGATATTTCCTGCGATTATTCTGCCAAGTATATATCAAGTAAATGATTGTCAAACTTTGCCCGATAAGTTTCGCTCCATGATCCGCGTAATAGACGCGTCCTATTTATAGTGATCGCGACGCACGAATTCGTTGTCGACAGTTTTTTTCGTGTCGCGTTGCGTGTGCGAGATGAAGATGGTGCGTGTGTACATGCGTGCGGCAGACACGCGCACACACGACGTTCTCACGGCTCGGGGTGACTGACACCTGATGCGTCGATGACCATGCCGTGAATAGAAACGCGGAATTCGTCTATTGAACGGCGACATACATTTCTCGCGGAGCTTCTTGCGTAAGATCCGCGCGTCGTTAGTCTCGTTTCGGAGAAAATTATCGGAGCTCGTTAGCCTGGAGACGAGAAAATCGTCGGGTTACGTCACGCGACGTTCGCTTTTTTTTCAAACGGAGGGAAGGACTCAAAATTCAGAGCCAGCGTCAGATGGCGTCGTGTCCTTGCGCGAAGGACGATTCGCGCGACGCGCAATTTCCCGGAAACGTATGTTGGCCGAATCGTAAACAAATTCCACATTAGCGAAAACTCATTAATCAACAACCGAAACTGCGAATGAATCCATTTCGAACGGAAATGGATTAATACGTATATATATTTTATATACGCTAATATATGTATTTGTAAATACGTATTTTAAATCGAATATATATATATATATATATATATATATATATATATATATATATATGTTTTTCCTTTGATTGAGCTGTAATTGTAATGTTGAAAGTCGACGTGAATAGGTCTTAAATTCTGATGTATATCTTGGGAATGTAACACGTAAAACATGACTTATCAGTAACGGTTAACCACAAGATTATTTTATATGAAGCGAGTAAAACACTTGTATATTTATTTATGATATTTAAATGCAACGGCTTGATTAGTATAAAATTAATTGATAATATTATTTATACAAAACTGATTAAAAACATTGGATGCAGTTATCCAGCCAACCATTAGTTTTTTTATTTCAAGATTTTTATTACAAATTGTGCGTGAATGTATCAGGTACAATTTGCAATAAAATCTCGAAATAAAAAATTGGTAGTTGGTCTATATTGCATAACTCTGCGTCCATTTATTTCTTAACATATATAAATAAGTAAATAAATTTCGCGGTAAAATACTTTTTTCATGAAAATAACGAAAATATCATACATGTATCAAATTCTAATTCAACTTTATTTAAAATAACTTTTTCAAAAAAATGTTATTTAAAATAATTTTTCAAATATCAATCTACGATATCTTATTCAAATCTAAATTCGATATTAATATCCTATTCAAATCTGTTTGAAATTAAACAATGAGAGATTAATAACTCCAGTACTTATTTTCATCTCCGAATCTTATTTTGTAATAAAAAAGTCCTTTTGTCAGTGTACCTTAACTATTTTACTAAAAGTTGATTTTAAATTTTACCTAGAATAATGTTTGCTCATGACCAGTTCTGGGAGTCTGTCTATTTTGTCACAGCACATTCGCGATGTCGTTCTGTTGATTTTTAGATTTTTACCTAGTATTTTAGATTTTACGTGAGAGAACCAAAAGTATCGAAAAAATTACAATTACAAGCGAAGAATCATAGAAACTAAAATTATCTGAGTTTTAATAGGTTTATTCATTTAATATTGATAAAATTTCTTTTTAACCAGAATGGATTTTGCTTTTTAATTAAAATGTGCAAGTGACCTGAAAAAAAAAAATATTTTACAATATAAACGATGGAAAACAAATAGAAGCACAAATATTATTATATTCATTTGAATAAACTTTATTCTTCTTTAAAGGTTGTTTCCAACATTTCATTTAATAATTGCAACTACATTTAATTTAAATAATTTATAATATTGTACATGTTACAAGATTGAGAGTGTGTGTACAGTAAATATTTCTATTTCTCACTGGAAAAATGCACTGTAAATTTATTAAAAATTCTGCAATATTGAAATTATAAATGAACGGAATTCTTGGATACTTTATGTGAAATTTAATTAATATTAGTAGGGGAGAAATTCTATCTATTTTATGACTAATTCGGTGAGATTTCGAATAAAGCTATTTCGTGAAATTACATCAATATTTCGTGACTAATTTTATACAGATGTTTCAGGCATTTCAGATACATATACAGACATTTGTAGACATATATATTTTGACGCACTATTATGCAATGCCGTGCTAATTGATTGCATTACAAATAAAATATTTGCATACGTTTGGTTTGTTAATTCCTGTTGATGTATCGTCAATAAATATATTTAATGATTAATTAATTTGAGACGCTACGAGTTTTAAGTTTTGTTTTAGCGACTAATAATATATGTATAATCGATAATTTACAATATTTATTACTCATTACATAATTAATCTTAAATTAAAAAAACATACAGACACAAGCATCACTTGATTACAGAAGCATGTATAACTTCCGAGATTTTGAATTTTTATTTTTTTAGACATATGATACAAAGTTTATTATTAAATTGAAAACGATATATACATATATAATTAAACCGATATGTATTGATTGCTTTTAATTCAAATTACATATTATTACAAGATCTCAACGATTGTAGCTGAAAGTAATTCGAGTTAAAGCCCACTCGAGATTGCAAAATAATCTCTCATAATTACACTCATTAATCGACTATACACATGTCATATTAATTTGTCTGATTAATTTACCTTATCGGACGCTATTGTAAAATAAAAAGATAGGAAATCTAATTTGAGAGCCGCTCGCGCAAGATTCTGAATTAAAGGTACGTACATATATATATACATATCTCTCTTTATCTCGCGAAACAAAGCTCATTTATATCTTTCGAGGAAAAGTGCCGCAAATTATTCTCAAGGTGCCGCGAAATTAACCGAGCTTCTCTCAGCTAACACGGTACCGTATGAAAGACGCGGTGAAGCTTGGAAACGGCACGGAAAATAAATACACGGCGCATACCGCTAACGGCGCAGTGCCACGGTAAGTCAATATCATAAACGTTATACGGGCTAGCGAGCAAAAACAATAGTGCGAGCACCAAGAGTGAGAGAGAGAGAGCTTTAAGGGGTAGAGGGATAGAAGAGCGAAATAATCCAAACGGAAAACCGCCGAGTCGTTTTCCGCAAGCTTTACCGGAAATTATCGTTTACTTCTTCATCGCTCGCTGGTATTAAAAGAAGCGCTATTAAATATCCTATGTGATTATGGCTAATCTGTAGTCGCTGTACTCGTTGCTCTTTATGGGAATATCCGGAGTTTTATACAAAACAAGCTGTATCTTTTTTTTTGTTATCACAGTTTCCGGCGACATAATCATTCAACGTTTCATTATGATATCACTCGCTCGATCGATGTGGAGTTGCATACATAAAATGTCGGCTTTATGATTTTCATTTAATTTCCGGGAAACACAAGATACACGTAACTAAGATAGAGAGAGAGAGAGAGATAGAGGATTTATCAACATTCCGCGGCGCGTTTTTTTAAACGTTGAATTTCAGACGGTAATTCACCATAGAATTGGAAATAAAAATTTATTCATTACGTACCGCGAATTTATACGATATATGAATTCTGATTCTACTGAAAGTTTGCACTGTAAATAAAGTTGTGTCTCGAATATTACTGGCTCGTCTATAAAGTTGGCTCGGGAAAAAAGACATTATCGATTGTTCCTAATGATTTGTACGACGTGGCGCGAAGCTTTATAACTGCCTTTCATTCGTATATTCCGCGATAAGAATAATTAACTACTTTAACGCTTGTCGTACGCGTATTGCATCTAAGAGGAGCTTATCGCGACCGCGGAAATTATTTCTTATTCTCTGCACCGGCGCTCTACTTCGTTGCGGTCTTATAAACCGCTGATAAACTATGTATATGCATTTATACGGTACACATATACCGTACATACATGCATGTATAACCATATGTATAACCGTTTAAAAAGTCTTGTTGAAATACATGCACGACGACGGGTAATTTAGTCCTGTGCAATAACCGCTTTAAAGTATAGAGCCGTTTAATTCGATAATGTCAAACTGCTAATATACGAGCGCGATGATAATAATTTAACAGCGAAGAGCGTAATAATGCGTTATTGCCTGTGATAATTTAATCGCGCGGGAGATGTACGTATATAAAGCGTAATATTTGAAAGAAAATGCATTTACGTATCTCGAGTAATTTGCTCTTGTCGTAACATGACGAATCTGTTATCTGCAAATTGAGTTGTAATGGAGCGGGATATATGTTATTCTATCGCTGCAAGAGTAATTATTATTCCAAAGTGATGTATGTACTCTACTAGGAATATAGGCCAACTTTGTGCCTCAATATGTACAGCTCGTTTTGGACGATATATAATCTTTGCCATAAAGTTCGAGATACATAGAATTAGATTTATATTAATTATCATTTTCTATGCGCACTTATAATATAAAATATGAAAAGTATTTAAAGAGAACAAATGCATCATGAAATACATATCAGGATTAAAAGATGTAATATGCATGACGCAAAATATTAATAGAATTTTATATATCGCGAATTATATAGCTATTACATGTATAAAGCGAATTTTTAAGCAAACGTTAAATAATTTCCGATTCAATTTTTTCCACGCGCATACTGCTTTTAGCGAAAGATATTTGTTGCGTAATTAGCTCGATGGATCCTTGATAGTGTTCTTGGTCGTTTGAATAATAGTTGCGAATGTTGTAAGGTAATATCCGGATCACACATACGCGCACACAAAGTTAATACCCGAGTAATCTCTCGCCATTTTGAATCGTTAACGCGTATATACGTGAAAATCCAACAGTGTCCTTGTTCCCGATGTTTGAACACGGGGGAGGACCACGGCGTTAGCTACCCATAAATCAAGGCGTCGCGTCGCGTCGACGTGGTCGC